TTTACAGACTTGCTAAAATAAGAGAAAGGAAAACAAAAACTTTCAATCATGTTTAGTGTATTATAAGAAAGGATTCAATAGAGTTAGTGAAGGATGAAGGAGATTAAGAAAAGTTGAAAAACTTATTTTGAGTAATTCTACTGATTTTCAAAAATTATGCAGCTGCTAGACTCATGTTCTGCGGCCACCAACTGTGAGTGTGATATCTACTGTGGAAATTCTCCCACAATGAGTAAGCATTAACCAGTCTGCATCAGAGGCCAAGCTATATTACCCACATTTATAAGCTTCTTTAGCTTTGTCTCCGTTTTCTTTGAATTCTATAATTTTATAAATGTGTTGTTGTATATTGTGTGTTTTACAACATTCTGGTGATGGGTTTCTGCTTTTTTTTTTTTTTTTTTTTGTGCAATTGGTTGTTAGTTTGTTACAAACCAGTGGAGTGACAGATCAGAGGGAACACAAGAGATGGAATACGTTACTAGAGTTAAGATTGGAATTTTAAAATTCTTAATAGCTGACATCATCCCTATGTATTAGTTAACCTAACAGTTGATTAACAGATAAAGAAAATTGTAATGCGACTAAAAAATATAGGGAGGGGCATGTAATTTTCAGAACTGAATTTATTAGCTAGAAACCTCAAGTGAAATTTAGTGGAATTTACCCTATCCATAATAGACTTCTAATACAAATCTTTCTTTGTCTATCTTTTTTTTGTGATGAAAGGAAAATAATAGGCCCACTATATTACTAAGCAGCCATATAGAAGTAGGGATGGCAATGGGGGTTAATGGGGTGGATATTAATTCTCCATCCCCATTCCCCTATAATAAATTTTCTCCATTCTCCATTCCCCATTCTCCATGGGTACCACCCTCCCCATTTCTTAATGGGTTTGGATTTTCCCCAACCCACTTTAATTCCTATTTTTATTTTATTTTTATTTTTTATATTTAATATTAACAACTTTTTTTTTTTTTTTTAAGGTTCACAACAAAAGCTAAATATACCTTCAATCTTTTTTCTTTCTTTTTTAATATATTTAATGTTAACAACTTTTCCTTTTTTTTTTTCTTTTTTTTTTAAGATTTTAGCTAAATATACCTTAAATCTTTTTTCTTTCTTTTTTAATATACTTAATGTTAACAACTTATTTATTTATTTATTTATTTTATTTTAATTTTTTTTTAAGGTTCACAACAAAAGTTAAATATACATTCAATCTTATTTTATTTTATTTAGTTCAACAACAAAATCAAATACACATTAATTAATTAATTAAAAAGTTTGTTTTATAATAATCAAATATATAATTTTGAGACAATCAAATAAGTTTTAGTAATTGAAAAAAAAATGTGGAAGAACGTGGAAGATTAAAAAAAAATTACAACCATCTCTCTCTCTCTCTCTCTCACTCTCCCTCTCACTCTCTCCCCTACATGTTATAAAAACCTGTTTACAATGTTATAAGAGCATGTTTGAAGAAATAAAATGTGAAAGAACCTGTCTGAAGAAAGTGTTATAAGACCCATATTAAATTGCATCAGGGCATAAACTAGGAATTGTTTGTTGATCTCTTAGCCACGGACATTTTAGATATTAAGCCATCTTTCTCTTAGCAAATTTGAACCATTCATTTTAATTTATCAAAAATCTAATTATACCTTTTAACAAATCTGAACCACTCATTTTAAGATATCTATGCCTTACCACACCCAATCCATCCTCCATCTTCTTCCTTTAGTCCCCCACGAATTTTGTTGTTTGTTACTTTTAAAAAACGAAAAATGTTTTTTCAATTAAATTTTTACTAATTTCACAATGCCATCACCACTATTCTTACCTTCACTATCACACTACTATCACCATAGCCACTACCATCATCACTGCCGCCATCACCCCACCACTATGTCACAATCTCTACTTTCACCTTCGTTCCATCACCACCACCACCAAATATAAAAGAAAAATATTTTTAATTTTTTTTATAAAAAATATTTTTCATTAAAAAATATTTTCTATCTAAATAAATGAAGCATAACATTAGGAAACAAGCTGACTTCAGTTAAATCTGTTCATAACTAAAAAAAATTCTTTTATTTTAAAAAAAAAATTATTTAGTAAGAGTTTGTATCCCCTTTTTATTTTTCCAGCAAATAAATCTTTGTACCCATCCTTTCTAACCAATCACGACTCATGCTTGTTTCGATTCTCTACAATTTCCTTATTTTCAAATACATTCATATATATATATATATATATGTTGTATAAATTGTGTAATAACATAAAACAAATAGATTCATACTCGTTAATTGAAATTTCAGAACAAGCAAACCATTCTGAAAATTACAATACACAACAAAATAAAATAACATAGAAAAGCAAACCGAAACCTACACTAGACAATGTCCTTAATTTTTTTTAAATAAATTTAAAAAATTCTAGATATGCATAAAATTTGACAAGAATAATGTGACAATGTTAATTAATGTGTATTTGATTTTATTGTTGAGCCAAATAAAATAAAATAAGATTGAATGTATAGCTTTGGTTGTGAATCTTAAAAAAAAAAAAAAAAAAATAAAAGAAAAAAGATTGAATGTATATTTAGTTTGTGTTGTGAAACCTTAAAAAAAAAAAAAAAATGGGGAAATTAGTGGGTACCCATCCCCAACCCATCCCCTGTGGATATTTAAAAAATATCACTTACCCTATCCAATGGATAAGAAAAAAAGGGAAAAACCCATGTATTTGGGTTGGGTCTCCATAGATACCCACATTGCCATCCCTACATAGAAGTTGAAAGAATTCGGTGAAATAGAATCAATTGATGCTCATGAATAATTAGAAAATATTTTCTGGAAATTGAAAAGTTGGTCAATTGAGGGACTTCCAATTCAAAATTGTAAAACTTGTCAAAATTATGAAAATTGTGAGATATTTAATTTGTTTTAATTTTCAATTGACTATCACAAACTAAGAAATTCTAAAATGAAAATTTTCTTAATTTCGTAGAAGTGAAATTTATAAAATTTAATTCAGAAATTTTTTGTTTTCTAAAATTCAAAAATTTGAATAAAGTTTCACAATTTTATTCCAAATTTTCCTTTTCGAGATGAAATTTCTCAGTTATTAGGATGAAATTTACGATTTTTTGGTAAGAATTTCTCATTTTCATTTATTAAATTTCCGAAGTTTGTATAAAATTTCCATGTTTCTAAAATCATAGAGAAAATTTTCAGCTTCTTGATCTTTTTGCAAGATCTTTTTGCGAAAAATATCAATTGGATGAAATTTCACGGTTTCATCCCAAAATTTATATGATGAAATTTACTATTTTTGGATTAAAATTTTCTTTTCTTTTCTTTTCTTTTCTTTTTTTTTTTTGTGTGTGTTATTTACTTGAAGACTCCTTAAAATATTAAGAAATATCATTTTGACCTCTACACTATAAAAATGTATAAATGGGCTCACTATTGAGAAGTATCACTTCGTCCTATAAACTATAAAAACGTACAAATTGGACCCCCTAACTGAAGGGGTCAAAGTAAAACACACAGAGTTTAGAAAGTCCATTTGTACGCTTTTATAGTTTAAGGAGCAAAGTGATACTTCTCACTAGCTTAGGGGTTACATTTGCATTTTTTTTTTTTTAATTTAGGGGGTCAAAGTAATATTTCTCAATAGTTTAAGAGACCTCTATGTAAATAATATATATATTTTTTAATTTTTTATAATTTCCCCAAATTCAAATAAAACAAACTACTTATCAAGCAGTGAACAAAAACAGTGAGTCAGTCCGAGTCAAGATTAGTGGTTTGGTCCAATGTCATGGCCCATTACTCTAATTTTCTTGCCCATTTTCCATGGTAAGTTGTTGTATCATTGTATGAAATGAATCCTCACCGCTCCTTTTTGTTTTTGTGTTTGCTTCATATGTTAATTGTTAACACGACCAAAAAAAAAATAAAAAAAATTTATTGAACAAAAATTTAAAGTTCTTAAAAAAAAATTAAACTAGTTGCACCACAGTATTACTTGAGTAATATTGTTCTAAGTTGCACCACAGTATTACTTGAGTAATATTGTTCTAGCATGTTTAATTACAAAATTGGGTAAAGAGCTTCAGTTTTATATATATATATATATATATTGGATGAATAAATCATAAATTAAAAAAGGCAAATAAATACAAACTACAAGAGGCATACCTCAAGCGCTAACCAACTATACAAGATACAGACAACAACAAACTAAAGCAACAAGAAGACAAAAAAACATGTTCAAACACCACATGAACAACAAGAGCAAATGAGGGGCAAGAACAGGGCCAACACAAAACTACAACAAAGGAAATGCCAAGAGATAGCTAGACCACAAATCAGATCCCAAAACAAACTCAAAAGAAAACCAACACAAAAAGGCCATGTACAAAGCCAAAAGAGGACCTGGGACTACAAAATAACCAATAGAGTCTATCATAAATAAGCTAGTATATTAAAATTTCAGATTGTAGAACAAACAACATAGCAGCAGCAGCACCCAAGATAGTAGCAGGCCACAACATAGCAGCAGTCCACACCATAGCAGCAAGCCACAATTCCAAAAACAGTAGAAAAAACAGTCACTACTAAAAAAAACACTTTTTGCGACCGCTATAAACCGTCGCAAATAATAAAAAACAGTCGCAAAAGAGTTGGCAAATGGGGGTCGCGAATATGGGGATGGCAAATACTTTTTGCGACGGCAAAACAACGGTCGCAAATTATTTGCGACCACCTAAACTACTTATGGCGACCGCTATTTTGCCGTCGCAAAAAACAAAGAAAAACACTAACATGATCTTTGGCAACCATCTTGTTACCGTCGCAAAAAATTAAAAATAAAAATAAAAATAAATAAATAAATAAAAGTGTAGCGTTAAGCACTCTAGGAATAACAATGACAAGAATTCAGACAGTATAGCATTATAGTTTTATTGAACATTCTATTTGAGTCTCAAATTTTGAGCTACATGTAAAAGTTATTACAACTAAAAACTTGGAAAAAATTCTTTTATGAAAAAAATACAATCCAGAACTGGCCAATCTTCTCATCAATTTTCTTGCTCGGGTGTTTCTCCACTCTATCAATGAACTGGCATAACACCTTGTATTCTCCAGTGCAAGAAATGAAAGCAATATGACGAGGGGAAAAGCTCCTTCATTTACACGCATTTGTTCTCCATTCCATAGTAATAAAGAAATACTTAAATCTTGATATGTCTCTCATACTAGAAAAGGCATCCAAGAGTTTTTCAATCTTGAGCCGATTGATAGAAAGGGACACACATAATTATTCTATGTCACATGAACATAAGAAAGACTAGAAAATATAACCAAAATTCTGGTTATCAGAACAAAAACAAGTGAAACAAGAAGGATTGCAGGAACTATAATATGTATAATAGAACTACAAGTGTAATCTATTGCCAAATTAAAAAAACCAACCTTTATTGGGTTGATCCTCATTTCCCTCAGAAATTCCAAGTTATCAACCTGAAAGCTAAGGAACTTCCTGTCAATATAACACATAAGAGTAGAATCTCAAATGCATACTATAACTAAAATTACATAAGCTAATGTGCAGCTGTCAAGGTATGTATATAGCTTCGCTAGAATGTATAAATATCGGGCTAATCTAAAATTTGTCTATAGAATTTTACTAGCATGTGACAGGTACCAGTGGAGTTGTCAAAAAATAAAAATAAATAAACAAAAGGGAAAAAAAAATTAAATAACTATTGGTATGACCATCATCAAGACAATCATTCTTGAATTTTACCCGCTTCTAGTAATTGATCAATAAGGGAATTTGAATTTTGCTACTTAGATGGATTGAAAAAATTTAATGTTAAATTTGATAATAGCTAAGCTGTAAAATCTATTAAGTCCAAATGTGGAACAAGTGTTAGTATAGTAAATGATGGTCATGAATCACCACATCTGAACTCAATCTGCAAATGGCAATTAAACAAAGACCTATAGACGCAACCAAGTTTAAAAAGCAACAAATTCAAAAGGCTTTGATTTCATGTTAGGCAAGAAGTCTGTGTTACCATTGATGGGGATAAAGGCAGCTGCACTAAAATATTGTATAGACTAACAATAGTGCCTATTGCTATCACTTTTGGAATCAAATTTCAGACCTAATACGACATAATACATGGGGAAATATAGTGATATCTTTCAAGAACTTCATACACAACAAATATCATAAATACATGCAGAAATATAGTAGAGTGGCATACCTATTCATTTTTTTTTGAAGCTTGTTGCCCACTAGATGCATCTGACACCTACAATATGTTAGTATAATGTGTTAATAATTTCCATATATACAAATTGATAAAACGTAAAATTTGTTAATTTGTAAGTATTGCACCTCTCTCAAGCCCATACTCCCAGCCACACCCTGTGACTCTAAGAACAAAACACGTGCCGTGAGGTTCTTGATTGTCGTAGTGAACCTAGACTCAACGTCTTGTGTCACACGCTGTGTGATCTCATCAATAAATGAAGGGGCTGCTAATGATTGGGATGGGCCGCTGCCTCACGCATACACCGCACTCCAGGGCACTCTTCTCCCATAGGTCTTGCAATACCCATGTCCATCCTTCCCAACGATTTTATGGTAAATCCCATCGCAATACTCAATCGTATGTTGCTCCTTAGGAACTTTCCAAAGATGCACATTGTATTCCTCCTACATTTTGAAAACATAAGGACAATGTTTGGTAGAAAGCAAAATATGTGTAAAAACTTTTAAACCATAGACATACCACAATTGCCACCACATTGGGATCATTCAGGTTGTGTGCCCTCTTCCAAAGACTCATCTTATCTATCCGCTCTCCTTTATGTGTCATCTGTAATTTTTTTCAAGTTAGAAGCTCAAGTCTTCACAACATAATAAGTCAAAAGTACAGCACTAGGTGCAGCCACAACTGCAGCCACAAGTGTCACACCAAGTGCACTAGGTGTGGCTGTAGTTGCAACACCAAATGTAGTCTCAGATGATGCCTTAGGTGCAGCCACAAAATCAATACATTGAAACGAATATCTGAGAAAGATGTCCTTCCGGTCGTATGTGGAGGCCCACGAAATCCCCGATTAGAAGAATTCTTCTTAGCAATCGCCTATGACATTGGTTAGAATATCAAACATTAGTTACTTATCATTAAAACATTAATTAAAATTTTATAAAGAATACATATACCTGTACTTCTTTACTCGCCCAATATTGCACAAGTTTCCTCCACTAGGTTGGCACTATGTTACTAGGTACTCTAGAAGCAATGTCCGGATCATTCTTGAATGGAACCCAATACTTGGACTTTGTCTTGCTTTTATGATCTTTCCACGATGTTCTACAAAGTCGCATACAAACCTCCTTGAATTCATCTGGACAGTATACCAAGTTGTCCTACAAAGCACAAATTGAAAGCCAATTTCATCCTCACAATAACTAGTAACTTGGACAAATTCAAAAATCTAAGCATAAACCCTAACTGTAATTAGCAAAAGGAAAAACCATATACCTTCACTTCCTGCCAAATATTTTCCTTTATATCAACATGCATTACATTCCAACTGAGATATGTAAGTGGGACTCTATGCCCGCTGCGCACGATCAACGCCAATTGTCCCTTCAACTTTTTGCCATCATCCTCCACCGACTGAAACTTATCATCAAATTTTACTTGGATCTTAGTGCCTGTACCCCATTCCTTTATCCCTCGAGCGAATCCTCGACCTCGTCGTGTTAAGGTAGTTGATACTATATGTGGAGATGAAACAGACGAAGAAGATGCTCCATCCATTGTGCGAGGTAGCGAAGGACTTGCCCGCACACGTAAAGCCTCATCTATAGTGCAAGGGGCCTTAAAGGTTTTCCTCTTCCGCTTCATCCTAAAATGAAAGAAATATGAAAAGGTTAATATGCAAGAAATATGGATATCAATTTACTAATAATATAACACAAGATATAAATATAAACAAATGATGCAAACTAGTTTCAGAACAAATAGAACTTTAGAAGTAAAGTTTACCTCGAAACATATGGAGAAGATGCTCCATCAATAGTGCGAGGTAGCGAAGGACTTGCCCGCACACGTAAAGCCTCATCCATAATGCAAGGGGCCTTAAAGGTCTTCCTCTTGCGCTTCATCCTAAAATGAAAGAAATGTGAAAAGGTTAATACACAAGAAAAATGGATATCAATTTACTTATAATATAACACAAGATACCTATTAGCATCCTCGGTCGTCTTCTCAACAATTTTTCCTTTGGGCGATACTGATAACTATCAAGAGTGCAAGTTAAATTCAAAACCAATTTAATACATGAAAAATAGCATCAACTAACAAGATAAATTCATAAAAAAAATTCCTGCGAATACTGACTAGAGAGGCAGCATCAACTCCAATTTCATCTAGGACCTGTCAAGTAAATAAAGCAATAATCAAATATATATGAAGTATGGGTGATGCAAACCAATAGAAGAACAAGAAAAATTAAACAATGAACCTGGTTGGCTAGCTCTTCAGTTTCTTCTTCAGTCTGCTTAGTTGGGGACATTTGCTGTAAGCAAGCTTGTAATTTTGTTATTTGTTGCCTAAGCTTGATTAGCTGACACACTGAAATTTTATTTGCTGCCTACAGAATGCAGATACAAATAAAAATAAGAAGATAAATCTGAATATAAAAACAAAAAAGAGAAATACGTCCCAGAATGTACCTCCTGTTTTAGCAGTTCTCTTTATCTCCGTAACAAGCTTCTTTTCCTATATTAACAAATAATTTATAATTAGATCAAACACTAAAACTTGCAACATAAACATTACCTATAAACTCTTTAACATACTTTCAATTGCAAGGTGGTGATTTCCCTCTCAATTGCATTGGCCATTTCAAAGAATAGAGATCCGTATGCAAGTCCACAACGATGTCTCCTAAGCTCGTAACTATCAGAACCGACATTGTAATTGAATAGAAAACAACCACCACAACAAGTAAACATTCATTATAGAAAGAAAGAAAATCTTTATGAAGCTCTACAACACTTGATAATAAAACAACACATAAACATATAAAAAATTCTCACAAATTCAGCAATTAAGCACAAGTCATTTTAACAATATTTAAACTTTTCTTATTTGCAAATAATAGAAACCTAAGAAACACGGAGCATAGTTCAACCCTCTTCCTCAACAATCACAAACGAAGTTCAACCCTCTTCCTCAACATCAATTGTTGCTCCTTCTATTCCTTCTCTCACCCAACCAATTTCTTCATCACGAAACATAGCGTTGTCTTCCAAATGTTGAGTCATATAGGGTTCAACTTGAGGATCATCATTAGAATTCATATCAAAAAGACCTCTTTGAGACATCTTTACCACAACTTGCCAATCTGGTTCCAAAGGATCAGGAACATACCAAACTTGCTCGGCTTGGGATGATAATATAAAAGGTTCATTGCTAACACGATCGGTTGGGTACAACAAACGATTGAAGTTGACTAATGTGAATTTGAAAGCATCTTCCATTTTCCCCCTAGTGTTATCAACCCAATCACACTTAAACAATACATATTTCATATTGTTAGTGTATCAGATTTTGACAATATCAGTCAACTGTCCATAGTAGTACACAGCACCGACGCGAGGACTCTTGTCCTTCCGACTAGCATAACTCATTGTATCAGCCTTTAAAGCTACACCACTATTTTGAGTCACCCGACGACCATCCAAAGCCTTCACACGAAAACGAAACCCATTGATAATGTAACCATTGAACCGCCTAGCCAAAGTATGAGGACCATCTGCTAATCTATTGATTTCTTCAGTAAATGTAATATTACTTGTCCTTCGCAAGGTCTGAACCTATTAAACAGACAAATATAAATTCAACTTCAACTTCAACTCAAAATTTATGTATATTTAGATATGTGAAATGAAATATCTAAATACATACATGGTCCTTAAACCAAGTGTAGAATGTTTCGAAATGCTCAGATTGAATTTGATGATGGTTTGCACGTGGCATTTTGCTCTTGATGACTTCAAGGTGTTGGCTGTGTAAATTGAAAGAGAATAGTAAATATCATATAGATTTCACTTTAGAATTTTACAATACTGGGGAAGTGATAAAATACCTTATGAACGGTGCAACTGAACTTGTGTTGAACAACACATATCAGTGACACTGTTGTAATTCATTAGCATTAAGATAAAATGTTGTACTTTCGCCTACAGCTCGACCCATGTTGTTATCACCTTCATTGTTTCTCCTCGGTCGATTAGATTTGGTTTCCACATCAACTGACTTCTCTTATACTAAAAATGGTTTTATTCATTTCGTTAGAAACAGAGTACAGATAACTTGACTGTGATATATATATATATACATATATTAATAAACAAATAAAATACACATATACAAAAACAAGAAAGACATTTACAACCACAGAATTGTAAGTACTGAAATGATCCCCACAGAATTGCAACCATATAAAGATGTGAAAGCTAGCTCTAATTCAAATCAATTAAGACTGGCTTTATATACAAGCTGATGCAACAATTGATTGTTGTTAATGCACAATGCCATTATCATGATTCCATGTGAAACGGGCACTTGAAATAGTTTGCAAGGTTGAAATCAATTAGAGCATCTCTAATATTGATTAAATTTGAATAAAAATTTGATAAAAAATTTAATCTGATATAATATTTTGTTGTTTTGGAAATAATATTCACGATCACTTAAAAAAAATAAATACATAACCAATGCATGAGCAAAATTGTATTTGTGAATAAAGAACTGAGCAATTGTAGGTTTAGGAAAATGAACTATGCTAATTGTTACAGGACATCAAAATATTCCCTCAATATGTCTATTTGCCTCATATTTATATTTTCTTATAGAAATGTTGAGGCTTATCAACTAGAGGAAGACATCACTCATACAATATATAATGCACATTTTTTCCCTATCCGTGACAGAGCATTATAATCAGTAGCTTGTTTTAATACATAACAAGAGCATGTTGAAGATAATTTCAATGATCTAATTCTGAATATGAGAAAACCGTAAGTTCAAATAATAATTCCAGAATTCGATCCACAAAAATGAAGATAAGTAGATAGTGAAATTTATATATAGGTTGCTATGATCATCTGTAAATGAAAATCAAAAGCTGAACTGTACCAGTAGAAGCGAGTCCAACTCGGTTATCTCCTATTCCTTCACTTTCTGTACACACAACCTGATCAATCGAGAAGATTGCAGTGAGATTAGTGGATACGTAAGTTGAATCGATCATTACACACAACTTGATTTCTGTACACACAACTTGATTTCTCGGATCATTACAGAGAAAGTTGAATCGATGAAGATGTGTTTAGGCTTACCGATTATGAAATCTTCAACAATTGTGGACTTGAGAAAGTTGAATCGATCGACAGATTCAAGCGAGAGGCAGATTTTGAGAGAGAGAGGGAGAGAAAGAGAGCTCAGATTTGGGAAAAATGGGGGGCGGATTGAGAGGGAGAGAGAGAGAGAGAGAGAGAGTCAAGTTTTATAAGATTTTGATCGTAAAATAAGATTATGATGTCCAAAAATGATTGGGTCACGAAAATGAGATGGTAAAATAAGATTTTGATGTCTAAAAATGATTTTTTGCGACTGTTCAATAATCAGTCGCAAAAAAATAGACGCAAAAAGTCATATTTCTTGTAGTGAGTAGCAGCTACACCTAGAAGCTAACATTCAACAAATTAGGACAATATCTACCAAACTGGGCTACTTGCTCCAGGCCATCATTCAGACAAATAATCCTAAAAGAGCCAAGCAATCACCAAATCAGTATGACAATTCAACAATAGTTAACTGCAAAAGCTCACATGATACTGCTAGCCTTCACTTAACACTCAAGAACACTCAAACACTACACACAGCAGTTAACTGTAATGCATGAGACACAATACAAAAACTATTTAACAATATATGCCTCAATCACTCAGCCCACAAAGAATAACTCCCTTAAGATAGACCAGCTAAGTACCTGCACCAAAAATAATTAGAAAATTATTGGTTCTCACCACACTCAACCCACAGTAGCATATAAAACCCTCCTCACACACAGCCCTAATATAGGAACTCACCACCACTCAACCCAACTTCCCTACAAAATGAGGGCCAGCTAAAAACCTGCACAACAAACTGTGAGATAAAGATTAATTTGCTGCAGGCACTCGACCCACAAACTCACAATCTCACTCAATCATTTACAGAGAACCTCACACACACTCAACTCACATCCCTAATAAAGGACCAGCACTCCAACCAAAGAGACATGCAATTAACACCCAGTCAAAAACAACACACTTCAGTTTTATATTGAATTAATCCTTCTAACTTTTTTCCCTTTTTATTCATTTATAGATAAATACTTTTTATAGGAATTTTAATCAAATAAACAATCCAATCCACAAGTTAAAATGCAATAATCAATTCAAATTTTGGAGATTTTAATTTTCGTGTGAAGTTAATGAATAATTGAAGAAAAATAGAAAATCTGAAGAACTTTAGAGAGAACCTAAGAAAGTTCAATTTTACAATAATGAATTGGGTTGACAAGAAGTTTAGTAAAGTGAAATTAATTATTTTAGGCCTTTCACTAATAAAAACAACCTTCTTGTTGGGTTTTCAGAGCAATGCTACATACCTCGAATTCACCTTGCCTTGAATGGCTCAAATTTCTGTTCGCCGATCTTCCGGCCAGTCATCCAGCCGGTCATCCGGCAAAAAGGCTAACAGCTGTATTTGACAAGGTAACAACCGTAGTTGTCAGCTTTTTTGCCAGACGACCGGTCGAATGATCGATAAACAAAAATTCGAGCCATTCGAGACAAGGTGAATTCGAGGCACCAAGGATTACACTTGATATTAAATATTGTTTAGTTGGGTGTTGATATGCTAACATTAAAATCATTGAGAGCCTCTATGGGGATTTTATTTACACTAAAAAAATCATTAAGTATTTTAAATTTTTTAGTACATTCTGTTAAATTATTTAAAATTTTATGTTACTCTTAGTACATCCTAGAATTTTTCTTAAATTACTTTTTAAGGTACACCCAAATAAGAACAAAATCACCATGTTCGGATATACAGTGTCGAAGAATATTGTTTGGTTCAGACTTTCATATCCAAACATGTTGACTTTGTTGGGTAGTGTACTGCTGAACAAAGTGAATTTGTTCGAATCTGAAAGCCCGAACAATAGTGGCATTAAATAGGCTGAATATTTGTTTTTACGAAAAAAATACAGAAATAAAAAATTGTACCTTAATATTTATGTGAATACTTACATCCTCTTTGATGGGTGTTAGTAAAATTTTTGTTAGGCTAATATTGACAAAGACTTAACCAAAATCTCACCAAACAACACAGTGATCAAGCAATTGTGTTGAGGTTCTATGCTTTAAAAGTTCAAGGACTTCTTTGGAGTAAAAATAATGACAATACAAATAAGAAAGAGAGAAGAAGAAGAAGATGATGTAAATAATTGAATGAACAATCAAATTACAAGTTAAGTACATTAAGACTACTCCTATCTAAGTTTAAACTACTCCTATGTAAATTAAATCTACTCCTAAGATAGAAAAGAAATAGAAATCAAGTCATGTATTGATTTGTTGGTCCTTACAATAGAGCCATTAATTGCAATTTATAGAGAAAATGAAGGAAAAAATTTCTATTAACCACCACCTAAATAACTGTTTTTAACTTCATAAATCTTCCATCTTCTTTTTTACAATACCATTGTTTTCCATCCCTTGAATTTTCAAAACTTGTCTTAACTTCTCTTTAACCTCTAAGATTTTCCTGCATAATAATAATAATAATAATAATAAGTATTAGAAAATTGGGTGAATTACACTAATAGTCCCTATAGTTTGGGGCTTGTGTTACTTTAGTCCCTGACTTTTCAATTATGACACATTTGACCCTGAATTTTGAATCTTATTCCAAATAAGGATAATTGAAAATATCAATAGATTTTTGAAGGGTAAAATCGTCAATTTGATAAAATATAAATTAATTTGATAAAAATAAATGTCAAAAAAATATTTTTGAATTTTTAAAAATTATTTCTACCCATTAAAGATAAAATTATATAAAATTGATAAATCTTTTTGGCATTTATTTATTTTTTTCACCAAATTAATTTTCGTTATGTGTTTGGATGATGATCATGTAAACCTAATCATGTAATTTTTATTAATTTTGATCAATTTTACATAATTTTATCTTTAGTGGATAGAAATAATTTTAAAAAAATTAAAAATATTTTTTTGACATTTATTTTTGTCAAATTAGTTTATATTTTATTAAATTGACGATTTTGCCCTTGAAATTAAACAATGGTATCGTCAATTGTCTTTATTTGGAACAAGATTCAAAATTCAGAGTCAAATGTGTCACAATTGAAAAGTCATGAACTAAAGTAACACAAGTCCTAAACTATAGAGACTGTTATTGTAATTTGCCCTAGAAAATTTAAATCTAGTTATAATCGACGAATAATTTATTTGTGGTGTAAACAATGCCCCCTAACTCTTTAAGAATGAGAGCACTTGAATTTTTGAAGAGTTATATTAACATAAATACACAATAAAAATTATGAAAATTATAATCAATTGAATATATATATATATATATATTTGTGGTCATATTGAAATACTCCTCCATCACTATTATATTAAGGCGTCATTATTGTTATCAATGACTTCCTACTCAACTTTAAGCACATCAGAACTTGTCTTCGTAGTAGGTAGTAGGTTGGCTATGGGCCCTAGTTAGGTACTGGCTTTTTGCTCCTTACCCCTTTTTTGTTTTTTTTTTGCTCTTGTTTTTGTTGTGGGTACTGGTTTCTTTTTGGGGGGGGGAGGGGGGGTCCTCTTTCTGGATGGCTCCTCACCATCCTTATGGTCTGCTAGTAGATAATTTGGTTAATCCCGTGGTGCCAATTTAATTAGGATCTCTAAATTAATTGTGATGCTTTTTGTACTCTCTTTTTTTATTGATGTATGTATTTTGTTCCATTCGTGATTATCATCAATAAATTTTTTGCTGATTCAATAAATATAATAGAAATAAAATTCAGAATTTCTTTTTGTAAACCACTTCATCAAAATTAATTTTTGAGGTGATCCACAAAGCCATTGTGATTATTGTATGACATAAATCATGATGTCAATTGACTTTAGAAAATTAATTTTTTTACAAAATTAATAATATCAAAAAATTCAAATTCATCAAATATGAATTGTTTATAATTTTCAGTCATGTTTGGGTTAAAATCATACTCCTGATTGGATTTTTACTATCATTTTGTGATGGTTGTTCATCAAATTTAGCCATATTTGACTTAAAATGATGCCCTCGAATTAGATTTTCACCACCATTTTGTGATGGTTGTTCAACATTCTTTGTCATATTTGACATAGAACCATACCTTCCAATTGAATTGTCAACATAAAAATGCTCAACATCCTTTGGCAAAAGAAGTTGGTCTTCTTTTTTAATTAATGGCTTGAAAAATTGTCCCCCAAGCATGTCATTTTCAGAACTTAATTTTTCCTTAGCCATGACTTTTGTGGATAGAAAGGTTTAATTGGAAATGCCTCTTAGCAACTCATAAAATTTGTGCTTTTTACAATTCTCTATATTGAATTTCTCCGCCAACTTGATAAACTTGACAACTAAGTTGATGAATTTTTCTATCAAAGTAATTTATATATTTTTGCATCAAATAATATGGTGGTAAGGAAATTATTTGAAATTTTTTCCAATCAAGAGAATTAATTATTTTTTGTAGGGCCAAAATTTCACTCTTGTACCAATAAATTTCATCCTCATAATGCCAAATCATTCTTTCCATTTCATTTGTTATGCCATTATGTTGGCAACAAACAATAGAATCATTATACACGAAAGATGAGGCATTCCAATAATAATTCATACCCATTGGAACATTGCCACTCCATTGGTGGTTTGCATCCATGGGTGCACAAGATATAAACATGCCACTTGATGGCATAATTTCTTGATATTTTGTTTGTATAATTTTTTCCCCCTCCAAGTTAGGATAATGTCCCACTGGTGTGTCAAAAATTGTTAGTAAAATTTTTGTAGGCTTAGATTGACAGAGCCTTAACCAAAATCTCACCAAACAACACAATTTTTTTTTTTGAACGGCGAAAAAGAAGATCTTTATTGATGAAACCAACAAAGACAAGGATACATCAATAAAGAGGAGCTCGAAGCTAACACAAGCTAGGAGCTCCAGTTGGCAACACAATGATCAAGCAATTATGTTGAGATTCTATGCCTTGAAAGTTCAAGGACTTCTTTAGAGTAAAAATAATGACAATACAAATAAGAAAGACAGAAGAAGAAGATGATGATGTAAGTGATTGAATAAACAATCAAATTACAAGTGAAGTACATTAAAACTACTTCTATCTAAGTTAAAACTACTCCTATATAGATCTACTCCTCAGATAGAAAATAAATAGAAATCAAGTCATGTATTGATTTGCTGGTCCTTTACAATAGAGTCATTAATGACAATTTATAGAAAAAAATGAAGGAAAAACTTCCATTAATCACCACCTAAATGACTACTTTTAACTTCATAAATCTTCTATCTTTTTTCTTACAATGTCATGTGTCTTCCATCTCTTGAATCTTCAAAACTTGTCTTAACTTCTTTTTAGCCTCCAAGATTTTCCTGCACCACAACAACAACAACAACAATAATAAGAAGAAGAAGAAGAAGAAGAAGAAGAAGAAGAAGAATTAGAAAATTTAAATCTTGTCATAATCGACAAAAAATTTATTTATGGTGCAAAGAATGGGTAGTTTCAAAAAATAGTTTTTATTATTATTCTCGTTCATTGTTTGATTTTGTTCAAACTTTCTTCTATTCGCAAGGATAAGAAACAATGATGTTGATGATAATGATGAGTTTTGGTGGGATGGTTTAGAATTTTGTAATGAGGAAGTAGAATAATAGAAAACAATTAAAACTTGAAAAGTAATATGAATAATACATATATGTGATTAGGTTGTATCATGAAAAAAAATAATATTTTATTTTAAGGTTTAATATGCATTGGCCTTATTAATAAATTTACATTTAAATATAATAAGAATTAAAATTTTAAGAATTTAATTTAACATACTTAATAATTTTTTTTGAGTATAGAATCTCCCAGCCTCTACTAATAAAAACAATTTTTGGGTTTGGTGTTGAGAGTTGGACTTAGGTTAGTTTTCGTGAGTGAAAATCATAATAATTTGGCCTCTCCATTTCATTGAAGTCTAACAAAAGGAATTATGTTCAATCTAAGACACGACATCCCCCATTTTAGTATATATATATATATATATATATTTTGAGTCATATTATCTTTTTATTTATTTTTATATTTTTTCATAAAAATTTTAAAAATATACTTATTTAAATCATCTCAAACACCCCCTTTAAGTATAATTGCTAAATTTCAATCCTATTGTTTTTTGTTCAAATCGGTTGCTTTGTCAGTTTGCCCAGTTCTACGAGTCAAGAATTTTGTTCTACCCACTACGAGCCTGGTTAAATATTGAGTTTGTTTTTTCATTAGGTTAAAAGTTTGTTTGGGAACACCTATCGTAGTATATATGTATATATATTTTTTATCTTTTTATCTTTTTTAGATCAAATTACTTTTTTATTTTTTTATATATCTTTTTATAAAAGTAAAAAAGTATACTTATTTAATACTTTCCAAACAACCCTTAAATATTGAGTTACTCTCTATTTCATAAATCAAACATTGTCATGTGGAATTTTTTTTATTTTCTTGACATAAACCTTTCAATGAAGTTCCGTAAAGTCAAAAACCCACTAATCACGCAAATGGGGTTCACATTCCTACCGAAATTATTGCCATAGAAATTTTCTCAAGCACTTATTAATCTAAATCTCTATGTTCCTACGAGCCACGCTATGCAAATATTTTGTGCTCTAAACCAACTCGGCCTAATCTATTTGGTCACCATATCTTCCTTAGGGTTTAGTCTTAAGGAGGTCATGAGCTCAATTTCTCTTAGGGGATTGAATTAAGGGAGTACAAACACTTAGGTGTTTTGCTAAGGGTGAGGAGTTTTTCTCCCATAGATGCTAATCTAACAACTAACATTTGCCGATCAGAAAAAAAAAAAATTCTATGCTCTGTCAATGAGAAGATCAAATAAATTTCAGGTATTTTTACGAGGCAGGTTTCCTACCCTCTATAATTCAAATTGGAAGGCAATGTTTGAATCTGTGTAGTTTATCACAGGTCTCATTTCAATAATTCAAATTTATTTTATTTGACACTTTGTGTATTTTATCTACACACACAGAAAAGAAAAAAAAAAAAAAAGATCGATCTAATCCAATAATGGCAATCTATTTAATTTATCGTGTTCGTCACAAAAAATAAAAATAAAAATAAAAAAAAATAAAAATAGATGATTTATTTTTAAAAACACAATTGTTATCCATTTTTTCAGTGACAAATACAATAAATTGAATAGATTATGATTATTAGATTGACTTAAATTTCTTTTGATGAAATATACGAAATATTCAAAAAATGAACGATTCAAATAACTGAAACAGGACCCATGATAAGCTCCGCCACAAGAAAACAGCATCCTCCTCCTTGTTTTTAATTGAGTTACATTAAAATGTCTTTTTTTATTATTTTTTATTTTTAATGTTGCCATTAATGTTTTATTCTATTTATTATATAACAAAGACATGTCATAATTAAATATTTATTTCAGAATTTTGATTAACATTAATAAAAAATTTACTTGAAAATAGACATAATTTTAAAATATTTGCTTCAAATATTAAGTATTTATTTATTTTTGGTACAACTAAAAAAATACTCGTGTTTTAAAATTTTAAAATTTAACCGTATAATACATAGAATAAAACGTTAATCTAACTAGTAATATCTAATGTGTCTTCAAAATTAGTTATATCTAATTTTAAAATTTAAAAATATATTAATAAAATGTGAAAAGAAAATGAATTTAACCTTATCTAAATTACATCTAATTTTACATTTAAAATGAAAATCTAAATGTAATCTGAATCATATGTAATTTGAAAATATTTAATGAAAAATCTAAATTAAACTTTTAGATATAAATCGTAATTTATCAAATGGTTGTAAATTCAAGTACACTTGTCATAATCCTATTGAAAAAAAACATTTAAATTTTTTTTTGTAAATTTTTAAATAAAAAATTTAAATTAATAATTAACAAATATTCTTATAAATTATCAGATCACTTCTCTAAACTAAGTTCTAAGCTAAAAACATAAATCATGGGTTAGCTCGATGGATCTTGAATAATTTTTTAGATGTAAAGATATTAGTCATATTTTAATAATAAATATATAAATTTCTTAACTAAAATTTTAAAATAAATAAATAAATATATTTAAAAAATTAGAACTTTTATTTCTTTATGTTTTGGCTGCATTGGCTTAACTCCCAAAACTCCAACTATCTTTCCAAGTCCACCTAACAAACAAGAAAGAAATTAACGAATCAAATAAATCACACACACACAAGAACAAAAGGATTTACGTGGTTCACCCCAGAATAGGGCTATGTCTACGGCTGTTGCAGTTTTCAATATGATCAGAAAAAATACAACTCTCTCTTCACCTAAAAGAGGTGCCCCCTCATCTATTTATAAGTATAGAATTAGAGTTACACGGAAGCACATGGGAATTACGAAAGTACCCAAACCCCCCATTGGACCCAGTGTTTGAGTGAATAGTAGGATTGAGTGAACAGTACTTATCAGGGTCCACCGACCCAACAAATATTGGGTTAAGTATTATGTGAATTAAAATCTTAAGAGAATTCAATGTAATTATATCAAAATTAAGAGACTTATTGTATTTTTTTCAAACTTCAAAAAGATCAGTGTAATTTACCCAAAAATTTAAGTCTTTCCAAGAAAACCTTTTTAATGCTCAATTTTTTTATTTTTATTTTTTTATCATTGTTTAAAGGCTTAGTTACACCTTTCACTCAGTTTGACTCAAATTTGATTTTAATTCCTGTAGTTTTAATTTAAACAATTCGTTTCCTACACTTTTTAGTTTTAGTTTTAGTTGTTTTGTTTAAAGTTTTGTTAGTAAAACTTATGCGAACTCCCAATCGACAAGAATTAAACAACAACTTTGACTAAACAATCAAACAAGAGCAATCAAACGACTGTGTTTTTTTATTCAAATGCCTTGAAAGTATAAGGACTTCTTTGGAACAAAAGTTACAATCAGTAAGATCAAACAAAGTAAACAAAGCAAACTAAAGATGATTTCAAGATGAAACCACCAATGTTTACAAAGATTACAAATTACAGAGAGAAACTACTCCCAAATTTAGATAAAGTTACTCCTAAGATAGAACTAAGTTGTTATGTTATTGTTGACGTCTTTTCTCTCTGCAAACTTCTGACCTTTATAGTTCTTCTTTCTCCTCTTTCCATTATCCATGATCCCATTTCCCTTGGAAAATGCAGGCCACTAA